GTAATGCTGCCTTTGACAGCAAAAGACAAACTACAGGGTGTTGAACGAGTCCTTCAGAAACATCCAATTATTGTTTAGCTTGCATGGCAGGGCGTCTGGCGTCTGGCGTTGGACAGGGTAAATACTAAAGTAGGGGTCATTACTGTGCTGATGAATTAACAAGAGCCATTGGCAGATAGGTTTGTTAACCCATTTACTGGCAGTACCCTATACCACTGACGAGTAAAATCTTCTGGCGCTCGACAAGGGAAGGGCGCATTGCCAGCTAATGGGTTAAACCACCGTGGTTAAACATAATATTTCATGATGCTCCAGGAAATGTAAACAAGCTATCAGTGTGACATCCCAGTTTATATATTTATATACTCGGAATATTGATTTCTCGGTACATACAAAATTATTTTAAAGTATAACAAACAGCGAAGACGTAAGGCACTAACTATCAATATTTTCAAAAGCGGCCAATTAGAAAGCACCGCATATAGTGCTCGACGAACCACTGCGTATAATTGCAAAAGCATCGCGTATATAAATGGTGAAAGCACCGCGTATAATACTGGAACCACCATTCCCCCCCCCCTTGCTTTTCCCACCCTCGCCCTCCCCCCTAAATAGCGCCTGCTACGCAGGCTACGTATAATGGCGAAAGCACCGTGTATAATGCCAAAAGCACCGCCGTATAATGCTAAAAGCACCCAACAAAATGCCGTTTGATCACTTTAAGCCAGCTATGGCTTTCCATAAAAGAAGACCAAAGATGAGGAAGATTTAAGGTTGGTCTTCATATGGGGCTATTCATGTCCTGTTGACCATACCTTCAACCATATTATGTAGTTTTTTTAGTCTATTTTATGTATGGTTGTAAAGTTAATAAATAAAATAAATAAATAAATGAAACATGATCACATTGCCTGTTTGCCTTATGCCTGACCGCGCTGCACCACGCAGTGGCGGCGCCAGCCTTTTAAAAGTGGGGTGGATTTTCGAGCGGTGAAGGCGCGAGACACTTCTAGGGGGGTCCGGGGGCATGCCCCCCCGGAAAATTTTTGAAATCTAGAGTCCCTGAAATACGATTTCCTGCATTTTCAGGGTGAGATTATTCAGAATTCCGAAAATTATAAAGTAAACAAAACACACGATTTTTTCATGACTATACGTATATATAATACCTACAAGTGCAGTATTACATCATAGTCAATAGAATAAGGTTAGGGAACTCGATGCAGACATACAGTAAAAGACCTCATTATCTATGTTTTTGTCTGGTTTATGCAAGGAACGATGGGTTCATCGTCATGTGTGTATTATTAGTTACCAATAGCAGTGTGCTGGTTTAATTACCCGGTCGTAATATTACACAATGGCTAAACAAAAACATAATAACTATTGGTTACTCTAGCGAAATAAAAATACAATACACACATGACGATGAACCGACCATTTTTTTTGCATAAACCAAGACAAAAACATAGATATGTCTATTACGTCTGCATCGAGTTCCCTAACCTTCTTATTCTATTGACTATGATTACATTGATTGACAGCTGCCTAAAGGAATTGCTACTTCCAGGAAAATTGAAGCCAACATAATTTTATATTTAAATACAAATGGAAATAACTGTTAGGTAGAATAATAATGGCTATATGTTATCGTAGATCTCCTTGAATGACAAGCTTATGAGGTTTTGCAAGCTTAAATATTTCCACTAATTTGCTAAGTTCGATATTGTTGGCTAGATCTCGTTCGTTGCTAATCTGGACAAGGTCCTCGAGTCTATCAGGTGACATAACAACTCGCAAATCATTGTTTATTATTTTGACCTTGCTGTGTGTGCGCTCACATGATGCCACTGTCACAGGCAAGGCGAGTCCGACCTCAAACAAGTCGGGATAAAGGTGGTGCAGATCATATTTGCTGAAAACTTCGAGCAAGGAGGGCAAGCAAATCCAAGGTGGAAACTTTCTTTTGGACCCTATCTCTAGACTCTTTCCTTTCCTTCTCTTCGCTGCTATGATGCTCGTATGTAATCTTCCAGTTGTTACATTACGTATGTAATCTTCCATATTCCAGTTATATGTACTCTTCGTACCATTTCTTTTGGAATGTAAACTTTCTCATCGATATTTCCGATGTTGAAAAATCTAAGATAGGTCTAACCGTCAAGATTCGAAAACGAAGGTTCTATTTGCCTCCCTCACACACAATTTCACTTGATGGATCTCTTCCTTCAAACATTTTTCTCTTTCAGTTGTGTAGTGATGCATTCCAAGAAGCTAATGACCATATGTTGCGCGAACGGTGCATTAATTAATTAACATATCTCCCTCACATCTTAGCAGCAGGTCCAAACTTCCGCATCACACATTACCCCTTGCACTTAATTTGGGTAATATGTTCACCCATTATGATGGGTTTCCTTCGGCGGTCGTAATCAGTGCCTGCAATATGCTAATGGTAAATACCGCATATATGAAACGGTCTTTTGTCAAAAGTAAAGCGAAGATCTTTTAATACCGGTTTTTATTCACACAATAAAGACTGAATTTATTAAGTTAGATCTAAATAACTGGACTGATGTCACAAACGTACCCCCCCCCCCCAATTTTCTCACCGGATTTGGACAAATTAGAAAATTGACCTTGAAGAGAACTGGGGGGGACGTGTCCTCCCCAGTCCTCCCCGTGGCGCCGCCACTGCTTTTGATTATTGTTTGCAGTTTGCACCCAATCTGAGCCAGTGAGTGAAGTTATAAAAAATTAAACTCGTTTGAGTTATTTGTAATGTAATTAGTAATGCTGTTCATACTGAAATAAAATAATTATTACAGATTGTTTTTATTGTGTTTTCCTGAAGCTGTTTTGCTTTTTGTATGGAGTTTATTATATGAATTTCCATACGTTTCACCGCACAGAATGCAGGAAATTAAGTTCGAGTGACGCTAAATTGCCCAAATGTTTTGTATGAATAGATAAATGTCTGAAAAGGCCGTTTCCGACTATCTAGATGCCCTAATTTTAAACTTTTTTCTCGCTTGGCGCCAACAATGGTGGCGCCTCATGAGCTTGGAACTCAGCGAATAGCATGACCAATCATTTTTTTCTAGCTACGCTACTGCTTGTAAATACTAATCCATTTTAAGTAATCCTGTTTCTAGGACCTTTAAGTGTCATAACATACTAATTCTGAGTATACTAACTAACAAATGTAAACATATTTTAGCAAAATTTGAAACTAATTAAAATTTTAAAATTGCCTATCACTTTCATTGTCATAACAATGAGCAAAGTTGAAAAAACTTTAAAATTTTTCCGCATGTGTCAGCAGCTTCCAAGAGTCTTTGTTTGTGTGCAATCTAGAATCAAAATTAGGCCATTTTGATAAGCTTCTTCCCTTTAAATGCAGCTTTTAATACTTAAAAACGGCCTTTGACTCATGCGCCCTTGCCCGCTTGTTGCTATTAGTAGGCTATCACTAATAGCCTACTTGTAGTGTAGCCAATCAGAACACACAATATGTGATAGCCTACTAGTTGGTTCATACTAATATGCATTAGTCTATCCATACTTGATTTATGGCAACTTAACATGGGATTAATACTTACAAGAGTCGAATCCAAAAAATAACGAATATACAAAAAAAAATTGTGTACCTAATGACTTTCAAAGATTTTAATATCCTAGACATCTTCAAAATCAATGACAATTTAACTTCCTTATTCATGTTTCGACACCACCACCACCTTAGTAATTTACCAGATTTCTTTAAAAAATTTTTTTAATAAACAACCAAATTCATGATCATAACATGAAATGCTTCCAAACTTCACAAATGATATAAAAGGGCAAATTATGTAAAACACACTCTCTCAAATAAAGGAGTTGATGTATGGAATTTGTTAGAAACAAAACTTAATCAAATAAACTCCTATATTGGGTGCTATAATCAGAAAAAGAAGCAGTTCCTATCGACATGGTATCCATGCTGTTGGTGGTGGAAATAATAGTCAATATTCAGGATCATATAAAGGTAACAATGCTAACTCGCCAATGTTGGACAGCCCAAAGACACAATGTGAAAAAAGGAATGTCAGGAAAAAAACCCACAACAGTTCCAGTTGTAAGAAACCTCACCACAGGCTTCTCCATGGCAACACAAGTCCTGATCCCAGAAATGTTGTTGGATTCATACAAGACAACAGCGAAGCCGTTCTACCCATTATCTCTGCCACAGTAAAAGGCCCCAACAAGTGCTGAAAGGTGAGCATGTTTTATGACAGTGGTGCCCAAGTCAGTATGATTAGAGATGACTTCGCTGAAGAACTGGGACTAGAAAGCAATCCTGTAACAAATTTCATTGCCAAAATAGGAGAGATTGAGCAAGAATTAAACAAGTTATACAAGATACCGATTTATGCTGCAAATGGACGAGCAATTCAAACAGTTGAAGCAAACCAGGACCCATTGACATTTTAATTGGAATAAACTATCCAACCTTTCATGCAAGTGAAACCAAAGTTAAGAATAGTTTTGCAGCACGTAAGAGTCCGGTAGGATGGTGCTATTTGGAGTGAAGTCCCAGCGTTGACCTCCTGAAGTAAAACTCCACCAGTGGACTTAAGTGAGTTTTGGACAACTGAATCAATGGCAGTATCTACCAAGGATACTCGCAGTGAATATCAGTGAATATTCATCATATTAAATCACACATACTCACATTTGAGTGCTTGGCTTTTCATGCAGTGTACGAACAGGAAAAACAACATACTTGTTTTTCTATACTGTTCTTTGGTACTACCATATATACTCTATACTGTTCTTTGGTACTACCATGTATTCAATATTGCAACATAATCTGGGCAAACACTTACAGTATCAATCTTGAAAAGATATTAAAACACCAAAAACGCGCCATCCGAATAATTGCTAATGTGGGATATAGGGATCATACTAAGCCATTATTCTTAAGCTAAAATTATTAACAGTGTATGATATCATAGACAATCCAGAAGACAGGGACTGGAAACGCAAGCGACAGCGCCTATGATGCTACGTGCCATCCGTGATATGGCTTTAAGCACATCAATGCATGGGGTTGCCGCGCAACCGTGGTCTTTTTTTTAGAAAAAACACAATGCGAATCCTCCGTTATTTTTGTTTATTTTGTGGATAAAAAGTCATTTATATATTTTATTTTTAGTTTATCTTTAAGACAGAGTTATTGTCAAGGTAAGTACGTTTTCATTTTTAATTTTAATTCTATATAGAGGTCATTTAATTCCAGTTTTGTCGAAGCATGTAATCAAAAATGTCGCACGTAAAATTAGGAAGTTGCTGGGAACCCTATATCTGGAGAATGAAGCTACAAATTGTCATTTGAAACATGCCATTATCATCTAAAATTAATCGAGGGTGCATTAGAGCAGTTACAACTACGTGTGATGTGTGAGTCCAGCATAAACAAGGTTTTTTCACAGTGACTACAAAATTGATGGCTACGTCTATACCCTCACTTTGTAACATGTAACTATAATTTTAGCAAATTACAAGACATTTTATGTAGATGGTTTAAAGGAAAATAATACGGGCTGTGCATTTATCGCTTTTTCCAATTTTTTTTTGCTTTAGTGAAGCTTGAAATCACCATTAACTTCGTGCGTAGTATTTTTGACTGAAAAATGTCGCCATTGTTGTTCTCGTAGTATGTGCCTAGTTGGAACCCTATAACTTCACTTGAAGCCATTTTGAAAGCATTATTTTTATATATTTTGAACCAGAAAACAATGGACTGTGCATTTGTTGCTTTTTTAATGTTCTTTTTGCTTTAATAAAGCTAAAAATCACCATTAACTTCGTGCGTAGTATTTTTGACTGAAAAATGTCGCCATTGTTGTTCTCGTAGTATGTGCCTAGTTGGAACCCTATAATTTCACTTGAAGCGATTTTCAAAGCATCATTTTTATATATTTTGAACCAGAAAACAATGGACTGTGCATTTGTTGCTTTTTTAATGTTCTTTTTGCTTTAATAAAGCTGAAAATCACCATTAACTTCGTGCATAGTATTTTTGACTGAAAAATGTCGCCATTGTTGTTCTCGTAGTATGTGCCTAGTTGGAACCCTATAATTTCACTTGAAGCGATTTTCAAAGCATCATTTTTATATATTTTAATAAACAAGAAAACAATGGGCTGTGCACTTACTGCTTTTATCAATGTTCGTTGCAAAATTGCCAATAACTGCACTAATTTTGACCAAAAAATGTCGCCATTGTTCTCGTATATGTGCCTATATTTTTATATCCAATATTGTAGTATGCACCTACTTGAAACCCCGTATATAAACTTTTTAAACAAGTTTCAGAACATCATCTTATATATAGTTTAACGGGATGTGTACTTGTCACTTTCAAAACTTCTTTAAGTCATTTGATATTAAAGCTAAAAATCGCCAATGTCAATAATGAACTGTTTAATAAAAAGTTTTTTTACTGATAGATGCCATACAAAAGAGGATTTTCGAGATTGAAAAAGCAGCAGCTTAAAACAATGAAAAAGGAAAGTACAAAACGAAAACTAAACAAACTAGAGAAGGCCAGAAAGGTAAATACTACATTAAATCATACCTAAAATATTAAAATAGTCTGTCTCTAAATTTTGACCCAACAAGAACTGTAAACTAAACTATATACCTTCTGTATATCTACCCTCATCAATTGCTTCCATCTCTTGAATAAAATGCTTTCCAATCGAACAGCTACAACTCTTGAAATGTTACGATGTCCGTAAATCGTTATTAAATCTTGCTTTACCTCACGTAAAAGTTTGTGCACACATTTTGTTTCGTATAAAATGGGCCATGCCAAGCAACCATGTTTTTTACTTTAGAACTTTATAAGAACTGCACGGCATTCCACATGCACATGATCATGTGACTTATGACCGTGACATTGTTTGGTAGGGAGAATTTTTATTTTGATAATGTAGTACAAACAATTTCGCTGGTGCTTCACGTCAAACAAACCATTTCCCACAAATATATTCAGCAAACGATAGGAATTTTGCGATTATAGTTTTCATACAATTGTACGCGACTGCCATCATAGACAATCCAGAAGACATGTCTTCTGGATTGTCTATGCTGCCATCTACTGGCGCGACAGAACTTCCTGAACTGGGCTGCAAGTTCAAAAAA